TAATAAACCATTATGTGTGACAGTAAGACAAGCGCAAATGAATGCACTTTATTGAAATGAATGGTCAAATCTTCAGCCTCAAATCTTTCCCTATAAATAGATGAAAAAGGAGAATTATTGGTTGAGACCATTAGCCACTTGCACATTTTGTTGGAGGCGCCAACAGTTAATTACGGCCTTACTGGTGTAACTGACAGTGTGATTAATTATTCAAGCAATTGTTCTTTTTTAAAAATTACAGCTTCAGAGAGAAAGACCTGGCAAAGTTAAAAGTCTTAAATTTTCTGCAGAGTTCCTATGTGAAACTGGAATTGTATCAATGCTCAGGAATCACTTTATTATTTTAAATAAGAGTCATGTGTGATTAGTGTAACACAGTATAATAGTTTAGCAAGGTGACTTCAAACCAAGGCACAAAAAAACTAAGATTTAGAAAAACAGTGACAAAAATTAAAAAGACAAAATAATGGAGGACATATTCATTATTTAAATTGAAATAAAATGTCCATTTCTTTAGCCTGTAAGGATAGATCCAATGAATTAATGTTCATCTGGTATAAAGAGACAAGAAATAGAAATAGTGGAAAATGTTAATTTCATTGATAATTACAGAAATATAAATTAAAACCACTAGAAGGCAAAACCACTTTTCCATTAAATAGGAAAATGTGATAAGTGTGACAAATCTCAACATCGGCAAGACTTAGAAGAAAGGTACATAGATACCTTGGTGATGATGTAGTGAAATGATGAGTTATGTATTTCTTGAAGGAATTGTGGCAATCTGTCAAACGAGGAATCATGAAGTCAGGAAAGTGATCAGGCCCTCTGTACCTGCCTTATACTCTTTGGGGAATATATACCAACAAGGGACCTTAAAAGGGGGAAAAAACTCCTGCACAAAGATGTTTAGCACCACGTGATATATTAATCCTAAAACTTGGAAACAGCCCACATACTCAATGCTCAATTATTCAGAAAAAGCTATAAAAGTGGCAAATTAATGTGGTAGAATATATGTATACTATATATATAGCTTCTAATACCTATATATAGTTATTAGAAGAAACCAATATGAAAAGTTTGTAAGAATACAGGAAGAAGTAAATGAGGTAAAAAGCAAAAATGATGTATATATATACTGAGAGAAAAACTGTAAAATCATGTCTGTATGGCGGGACTGTGGAGACTTTAGAGATAGAAAGTTCATTCTTCAGAACAGAGATTCTGTAATTGCGCAAAACTGATCTATGGAGCTTGTTAAACCTAGGGAGTTTAGCGCGGCCTCTGGAATGTGGGTTCAGGAATCTGCATTTTTGAAAAATTCTCAGGTAACTCTCAGGTTATCTGTTGAAATACTCTGATAAACATTTTAGTGTGTTGGGTGTTGGGAATATTTCTAGTTCGATTTTGTGTCCATAACCTATACACAATGAAATAGTAAACAGTACATTTTCAAGCATTCAGTAAACTCATCTTATTAGTAATGAATACATCCAGAGATATACTTGAGAGACTGACAAATTCCAGGAATGTATATGTAATTTCTCCCATAAAATGAAAATGCTTTAAGCAGAGAATGAAGGCAGTTGCCACGTAGGCTGCTGGGCAGCAGGCTAGGCTCAGTCAAGAGCAGAGCACGCTGTCCCTACCACCCACCATTCACACCCAGAACACTCGCTACCTGACCGAGCCCTTGGCACAGTTGACACGTGTCCACTCCTTCCCCTTGACACTTTTCTTCTCTTGACTTCTAAGACGCCATCTTGGCTGTCCTCCTACCGCACTGGTGATTCCTTTTGGTCCTCTTCCCTATTCTCCCTGACCCTCTCTCCGTCCACACATGACTGTCTTCTCATTTCTATCTACGCTTATTCCCTTGGGGATCTCAACAGTCTCACAACCTTAAATATTGCCCAAATAATGTCGTGTCTCCCACACAGACCTCTCCCTAAACTCTGGACTTCCATAGCCCACTGCTTATTTGACAATTCCACTTTAACAGTCTAACAGACTTCTCAGATTCAACATATCCAAAAATAAACTTCTGATTTTCAAATCCAAATCTCTTTCCCCAGCAGACTCCTCCATCTCAATTAATGACAACTCCATTCTGCCAGTTGCTCAGGCCAAAAACTCTGGTGTGATCCTTGACTCTTCTTTTTCTCTCACATCCCAGATCTAATCCATAACAAAACCCTGCAGGCTCTACCTTCAAAATGAATCCAGACTCAGAACCCTTCTCTCCAACTCCACTCCTGCTGTGCCAGTTGGAGCTTTTAACATCTCTCGCCTGGGTTACTGCAGTAGCTGCTCACTCACCTCCCTGCGTCCACTCTTGCCCTCTGCCCTCAGTCTATGGTCACCGTCACAGCCAAAGTGATCCTTTTCAAACCTAAGTCAGATTGCAGCGTTCCTTTGCTCAAATCCTTTAATAACTTTCATCTGACTCAGAGTACAAGCCAAAGCCTCCCTTTCACTGGCTTAGAAAGGCGTCCCTGATCTGGCCCCTTTTACCTCTCTGCCTTCCTCTTTTTCTATTCTCCCTTTCACACGCTCCACTCCCGCCATGCTGGCTTTCACGGTATTTCTTGAAATGTGCGGCATCCTGCTTTAGAGCCTTTACCATCACTCTTGCTTCTGCCTGCAATGCCTTTTCCTCCATCACATATCCACATGGTATCTCCATCACTGACTACAGGCTTTGTCTGAATGTCTCCTTCAGAGTGAGGTGACCACCATTTCAAAACTCTACCAACTCACGTCTACCTCCAGCAGCCTACTCCTTCTTACCATGCCCTATCACCTCCTACCACAAAACAGTATGTACTTATTTATTATTACCTTTATCCTTTATTTTTGTTCTTCCCCACGCTAGGATGTAAGCTACAAAAGGTCAAGGTCAAGGAATCTTTTGTTGCTGTAGTCTCTTTTGTTCATGATATGCCATAAATCCCTAGAATAGTACCTGGCATAGCTATCACTGCATAAATATATTTGTTGAATGAATGAAACCACAAGGGTCAAAGCCACACAATGTCAAGATTCTAGTATTGAACATAGTAATTTCATGTGATATCATCATTACTGAAAAAGAAATAACTTTCTGTTAGCTACCTTCACCTGCAGATACAATCTAGTACAATTTTTTGCTAAGCCACATATTAGCCATAGCAGCTTAGGGAAATAAGGAGAAAATTGAATACTTCCGCCTCAAGGTGTAGTCTAAGCTGAGAAAGACTCACATGGATGTTTGTGGCAGGCAAAGCGCTGGGTACTTTTCTTTAAAAAACCAGGCACAGAATGATTCACATACTCCAAGTCTTTCTCTCTTAACAATGCCTCAGCTGGTACCCTAAGGAAGGTCTCTTAAACTTTTACCAACTCCGTGTCTTAGGAGCCCCAGATATATCACAAGGTAGAAGGTAGAGCAGCTGGAAAAACACCTTTGTCTACTCCTATTCTCCCCATTCTTCCTACTTGGCTCACAATGCTTACAAAATTTTGTTGCATGAAGTTTACTTCCTTTTCCTCCCTACAAGCCAGCCTGTCTTCTTGAAAGCAGGAACCATTGCTGTATCCCTGGTACCTGCACGATACCTGGAAGCACATGGTGATTCCTCCATAAATGTTCGTAGAATCAATGAATGATCCAGAGTTTTGTTAGATTAAGAGGTGCATTACAAATAGAAAGAGACTCATTACAGTATTAATTGATATAGCACAGAGCTAATGAAAGTATTAATAAATCCCCCCAAGGAGGCAGTTATGCAAATATGGAAGGTCCCATATTTTCATTTCTTTGTCAGCCAGAAATGAAGTGGCTTCTCTTCTAGCTATTTATTCACCATCAAAGCAGTCCTGATGATATGTAAGTAAAAATTCAGCATAAGGCACTCTTATAGAGGATGTTTAGAGTACTGAAAAAAAAGACCTGGATTAACTTTGAGTCCTGACTCAATGCAGTTAGGTAACTTGACAAATGCTTAGCTTTCCAAACCTCAGGTTTCTTATCTGTGAAATGGGACTAATAATATTTCTCTCTGTTTACCTTGAGAATATTATTGTGAGGGCCAAATGAAATCGAGTCTTTAAAACTTCTTTGACAAATAAAAATAATTATTATTGCCATTCATTCTCTATTTCTCTTTGGTTTTCAGTTGCTTTAAAAAAAATTAAGTATCTAAAGAACTATGATACAGTTCATGTTTCCACCTAAGTCTTACATATAAAGTATTAGGAGCTCTTCAGAAAAAAGAAGGCAATGAAATCTATGATATATGCCTTTTCCATTTGCCTCAATCTTTCTTAACAACTTTGAAAATAATTATCAAGACTTCTTTTAATATTTCCTTACACAGCATCACTTTTCCCCTATATTAGCAAATGGATCCAAAATTCACATGGCACCTGAATTTAGGAATGCCCTAGTCCAATCATGACCAGTTTTGACATATTTCTAAATCATATTATTGTCTGAACAAATGTACCAATTCCCTAACTGGGCATTGCTAAGCAAGGAAAGATAAGCAATTCTGTTCCCTAATTTTTCTCATATGAAATACAGCAGCTCATTTTCAGATTTCATGGTACAGATCGTGTCTCTTTTGATTCTTTAATTCTTGATTTCTCACTATAGCTCTTGCTAGCTCTTTTTGTATCTCTCACCACTTTCCTACTTCAGAAACAAACAAACAAAATATCTAGTGGAATCATTGGAGAATCTATTACTAACAGGGCAATTTCTACGCTGCTCGACCCAAGTGATTGCATTTGCAGCTGGTGCAAAATGCCCAGGAACTAAAATGCAACTACTACATTTCAAGTAAATTTTAATGTTAAAAAGAAAAACAAACAACAAAAAAGCAATCACAGCCTATCGAGATACAGAGTGGTGATGACAGGTTCAACAACCTGGATGCAATTTTTCAATAAAAATAAAAGAACTTGAAAAATCCTCTCTAAAAGTTTATGTTGTGAAATTTTTGCCACTTGCTTACCTGACTGATGTCGCTCATCCAGGCAGCCTTCTCCTGGCGTGAAGGTGCTAACAAGACCACGGTGAAGGAGGCAGCGTCGGGAGGCTCCACCACTATTTTAAAATCCAGGTGCCCAAACACTTGCCCAGAACCTTTGGCTTAGACACAATGTAAACCAAACAATTAGATGTGAATACAAAATCATGAGGGATAGCTGCTTTCCCGTAGTTCTATTACTATGATAAATGTGCATGCAAGTCCAGAATCTCGTTCCAGCAATATCGTACTTCTCGGGCACAGGAAAGACTTTATTAAGCTCATAAGTAGATAAAGAAGCTGAGGTCAGTAGGTCACTTGAGACTAGGATACTGGTTTCCTTTTCATTTCCTAGTTTTGCGTGTGTTTTTTTAATCCCATAATCTATAGCATTCCAACACTCTAATTCTACTTTCTTCTCTATGTGCCACTGAATAGTCACTATCATGAGACAAAAGTCTGTAAAATGTGAATTCACAAAGATAGTTTAACAAGGCTCATGGGCTAAATGGTTCTCAACAGAATTTTTTATATATAAATGACTTTAGGGAGTTTGTTCCCAGCAGCTTTCTTGCTTCCTTAAGCAGCTCTTCTTAACACTAAAAGCATAAAAACATAGAACTTTATTTTTTTTTTAATTCTAATATAATTCTAAGTCATAGAATATGACTTACAGTCATCATCGCTTGCATCGGGCTCCTCAATCAATGTACATTCTATTAGAGAGAGAACCCCACCTGTCTGGAAACAAAGCGATTTTTCATTAAGAGGCTGAAGGTCTGTGTAGATTGGGAAGCTCTGATTTGTAAACCTTATACTCAATTTGCCATAGCAATTCTGCTATGCATAAAAAATTTTTCATAGGGTCCAAAATTAAACTTAGATGAGTAAAAGAAATTGGATTCATTTAACTTCAATTAAATTCTTCTCCCCCACCCCACTCTCACTCCCAATGTTTATAAAATTTAGCAAGTCAGTACATGGGAGACCAGATGGCACCATAGCAGCTTTAGAAAGTAATGCAGCTCAGCAAAGGGCTGGACTCAGCCAACCAGAAAGTAGTTTAAGCAGTAGACAACCATCATCACAGTGTTGAATATTTTTAAGCAATAACAACAGAAGGTATAGACAGTCAAACTTTTTCTGTAAAGGGTCATATAGTAAATATTTTAGGCTTTACAAGCCATGTGATCTTTATCATAACTACTCAAACCTGCCATTTTAGTGTAACAGCAGCCACAGATAATAGGTAAACAACTGAGCATGGCTGTGTTACAATAAAACTTTATTAACGAAAGCAGGCAGTAAGCCATGGGGCCATAGTTTGCTGGCTCCAGGTACAGAGCAAGATAAAATAAATAGCATTTAGTAATTACAGTATCGGTACTTTGCAGTGATTTGGAGATTTTTGCAGCTCAGTAGTCATCAACTAGTTATAATTTTGTCCAGGTTATGAATTTAATTGTACTTCTTTATGGCAATGCACACAAAATAAATTTTTATTATTTTGAATACAAGTGGTAACAAAGTAAATGTTGGTAACTGTACACTACCTCACTCTTTATGGGATCAGGACAATCTGTTTTATAATAAAACCAAGAAAGTCACAGTTGAATTAACCTCAATACCTCCTAAGTGCTTGGAACATAAATCGAATAGTCATGGAAAACCAGTACCTTGAGCAGATGCAGTTTTCCTCCTGAACTTCTTGTACAAATTAAAAAGTGTTTTGTAAATAAGAAGCACTGTCTCTCTCCTTCCTTTTTCAAAGACAACGAACCCAGGCGAACTTTACTAAGTTTCCCCCTCTCAACGGAAGGTACTTGAATAAGAGAACCTGGTGATTACAAAAATGAAGAATACACAGCAATTAAAATTCTGTGAAATGAGGACCCTGCTGTAGCAATAAACTCTAGGGCCCATGTCCCAAGATACCAAGGATTTATTTATTTGATCCACCCTCAGAACAAGTAAATCTCCTACACTCTGAGCAGAAGAAACAACGCATTGTATTTTAAGGACTGAACTCTTTCTAATATTTTTGTGAAACACTTTAGAATTGATTCTTCATCTATAAGCTGGAAAATAAGTTTGAAAGAAGGTTAAATTGAATTCAAAGAATGGGTTACTTCTGCCATCTGTCCTTAGTGATGTGATTTGATCCCAATCAATTTATTTACTTAACATTAACGTACATATTACATAGTAATACAATAACATAATAAAAAGCAAATAGAATTTATTCTTCCTGAAGCACAGAAGGTAGATAAATATCATATTAACATAGTTTACTTTGTATTTAAAAAATAGAATGTACAATATATGTGTATTATAAAAATACATATATTATGAATATATAATTCAATGAAATTTAGTTAAGAACTATTCTTAAAGGGCAGCTATTTCAAGTTTCATTTAAAGTATATATGATAAAAATTCTTTGTGGAATCTAAATGGAAAATAAATGGCATAAAATTTATACCCAGAGCACTCCTATGAGCAAAACTGTCTTCCATTCAATGTGAGAAGCTATGCACAGACTTAATATAATACTGAGATCACCTTTGATTATTTCTAGATTTCACCCTAATAATGACCACCCCTCCCCCAAAAGAAAATTCCAATGTAAGTTAAATATCAAGCCAAAAAGCACTAAGGAAGATTCTTGCAAACATCTTGGTTGTAATTTCTGAAAGGCCTGGAGCCAATAATACTTCTTTTATTATTATTATTTGTATAAATATAAGGGGTACAAGTGCAATTTTGTTACACGGATATATTGCATAGTGGTAAAGTCTGGGCTTTTAGGGTATCATATTTCTTATATTTGTTTAATCCACCACCTACTTCAAATGTAGCCTTACACAGGCTCAAATCAGCCTCATAAGAACCATTAAATGCAATTCGACCCTTAAACATTAACAGTGGTCATCACTAAGAGACGAGATTGCAGGCAACCTTATTTTCCTCTTCATACATTTTCTGGATTTCCTGATTGTTGCAATGAGCACAGATTACTTCTGTAAGTGGAAACAAAACACTAAAGTTCTTTATACAAAGAGCATATATACAGAAGACAGTTAAACTATGACTTGTGAGTCACAAAATGTTCACATTAACATATGAATGTTCCAAATTGCATCTCCTTTTTAAGAGAGGTGCAAAGGTGTGCAGGGTGGCAAAGGACCCAAGTCCCCATGCCCGATCTCACACCGTTTATTAGGTGGGTGTTTCCGTGGGCTGCTTGACAGACACAGAGAAGGAGGTTGTTCCAGGCCTGAAGAATAGCAAGGAACAGTCCCAGGTGAGGGCGTGGGATCGGGGGAACAAGGGATCAGGAGAAGGCTCCACTAAGGAAGGAACAGCAAGAAGAGAGTGAATAAAGGAGGCAGGGTGGGTGGGAGGAGACTAGCAGACAGCCCAGAGCAAGGGACTACATCTGAAGAGTAGTGGGGGGTGTGGGGACAGCAGGAAGCAGAGAGGTTAGGGCAGTGGATGAGCAGCAACAGCAGCAAAAGGCTGTGCTCATGGAACTTACGGAGATTCAACACAAGCCAGCAGAGGCCTCTCAGAGCATCTGGTTCAGTGCCCCCCATTTCACAGATGGGGGGACTGAGGCCTGAGGCTAAGTATCTCTCCTAAGGTCACACCCGAGTGAGCGACATAGCAAGGGGATGGCAGTGGATTCAGCAACATAAAACTGAACCCTGGAAAGGGCACGGATAGGAAAAGACCATAAGTTCTAGCATCGCCATGGCTGGCCGTGAGGCATCAGGCAGATAGCAAGGGCGGAGTAAATTTATCCAGGGGCTTGGACAAATGTCTTAGGGGAAAGATAGGTTTGGGAGTCATTTTCAGAAAGGCTATAAGCAAAGCTGTGAAAACTCGATAAAAATGTGTTCATCGGTAAGTGCTTCTAGCAATTTAGTGATTCCCTAAGTCAGAAATTACAGAATACAAAAAATAAATAAAATTGTAAAAAGAAATTACAGAATACACTGTTAGCTCCTATATTAGCAATTACTGTGGATTTCAGCTTTGAGGTAAAAAAAATAAATAAATAAATGTTTCCTTGGCAACCACACACTAATATGCTTAATCTATAACTGTTTATCTCATATCCAAGCAGGAGAACATGGACATTAGGTCCATACAGAAATGTATGTATCTGAATTAAAAGTGAGAAATGTCAACATTATTGTTTGGTTTGTAAAATAATCATATTTGGAAAAAGCATTTCACGTGGATCTTTTTTTACGGTTCATGTTATGTTTGACGTGATGTTTCAACATAGCCATGAGACAGGAAGAAACTATTTCTCTGCAGTTAATACAAATCAGTGAAATAATTAGTATTAAATCAGTAATTCCTCAGTATTAGACCATTGCTATGGCACAGTCCTTTGCAGCCTGCTCATCAGTCTATCTAGTAATTGGGGTCAACTAACAACAAAATTTCTGTTATTTCAATGGCTAAACTGCATTGCCCTGGAATGGCATTCGAGACTGGCCAATGCCCTTATTGTTAATTCCACTCAGTAGTAAAAGAAGAATGAAGAACGATTTCCATGTTAATTGGGTTAGGCATTTGAGAAGGTATAACTATCTCTAGACCCCATGTTACAATTTCAAAGAGCACTGGTACACTGAAAGCACACGGTTTAGAGTCTGGTAATGATTAATGTACCAGAGTAGTCCGTGTCTCATTCTCAAAGCATTTCGCTCTGCATTCAGTCCCTTGTACTGAATTTTCCTGATTCCATTTCCACAAAGACACTGTTGACAACGCACAATCGATTTTGTACAAAATGTCAACCTAGAGTGCCTTGATCTTCTAATAAATATTCACATATATTTCATGTTATTGAAAATAGAAACTCATTCCAAAATTTGGATCTTGGCTTTTAAGGTTTATGTCATAATCTTGCAGGCACTAGTCCAGGTGGTTTTGTGAACATTAGTTCACTTAATCTTCACAACAATCCTAAAAGACAGGTCCTACTATTAACTCCAATTTAAGGAAAGGAAATTGAGGAGAGAGAGATCAAGTAAATGTCCAATATCAAAGGGCAAAGAAGTGGGGGAGACAGGATTTGACTTCCAGTGATACAGCTATATTGTCTTCCTGTTATTGCCTCAGACACTTAACACATTTACTCAACAAACTTTTAATAGATTTTGGAAAATAAATGACAATATCAGATCACTGCTGTGATGCAGTCCTTTGCATCCTGCCCATCTGACAGGGGTGTGGAACTGTGCGTCCTTAAGGCCACACGTTCCCCACCCAATCCGTTTACAATAAAACCTCTGTTGTTTCAATCACTGAATCCCCATCAGTTAACATTCAAAAGTGGCTATTGCCTTTATGCTGAAGTGACCTCTCAGTTGACCCAGACGACTTATTTTTTTCTAGTTCTTAGAATAAAAATTCATATAAGCTTGAGACCACCACGCACGCGTGCACACACACACATGCTGAAATAGACCTCATACCATCCCTAAAAGTAATTAACACAAATGCTAGCACACCATTAGAAATAAATTGTAGCCTGTCTCATAGAAATTAGAATTCTTCAAAATTTTAAAGAAAACAATTTTTAAAAACACACCTCAATAGATCTGAAAGTCTGTTAAGGGTATTAAGTAAAAGTTACGATTGGCAGAACCAAAGCAAAGCAATGCAAACTTTCCAAACTGTCTGCAACTGGATTACTTTCTACTTTCAGATTAAGGTCTGATTTTTAGAAACCATCTTTACTGAATTAATTCCTAAGCGGACTAACAAAACCAAACATGCAGAGAAATACTGCTGAAATGCAAATCAGTGTATTGACGTCAAAACAACAATATCAGAAATATCAACAGCTGACAGAAGTGTCTTACACACCTGGTACATAACAAGGAACAGATAACATACGGACATGAACCCAAGGGAGAAGTGTTCATGATTGTTTTTCTCCAATTGCAGTGAAAAAACAATGGTGTATTCAATATATTTGACCTTCCAGCATTTTCCACAATGGATATTTTTTCAAACTCAGACCAAAACAGTCTGTTTTCAGCCATATATTAAATGTTTATGGGTAATAATACTTTCCAATCAAAAGTCCTTTCAGAAATTGTATGCTAGTTATACAGACTTTTGTTCCATTCTCACATACCATAAAGACGATTAGTAGATATTTCCAGTGAAGTCCAAATACAAGAAAAATACAAAATAAGACACCTTACAATCATAATTGCAATTCAACAAATAATTCAATTTAATTCAACGCCCATTTTCCAGGTATCTATAATGGAAAGCATTGTACTAGACAAGGCATGGCAGAGAGAATTCACAAATGCTGCCCTTCAGAGTCTACCACTACAGGGAGAGACAGGCATGCAAACAAGTGCCTCTACACCAGAGGACGAAATACATGCACCAGGAGCAAAGTGCCTTGGAAACAGAGAGGAAGGCAATTCCATTCCAACGGGAGGGGAGGGGAGGAGGAGGAGGAAATTTTAAAAGGCTCCTTAGAGGTATGTGACCTAAGCCTGGTAGGACAAGCAGACCTTCAGTAGGCACAAAAGAGATGGGTGGGGGCATTGCCAGCCCCCAGGCTGGGAACAGCACAGGAAAAGGCACAGAGGCAGGCAGGCGGGAAGCCACTATGGGGACACGGTCTGTGCAAAGGCATAGAGGAGGAATTACAAAGTCCTGATGTTGTTAGTATTACATGCCACCATTACTTAAAGAAAAAATAACATCTAAAGGCAAAAATGAAAAAAGGAATCATTTCCTAAAATATACTTTCGAACTTTAACATATGTGTGGTTTCTCTCCTTGTAGATAAATAATGAAAAACAGAATGGCATGCTTTAAACTTTTTAAATATTCTGTACAAAAATTAATGTGCACGGCACAAATAATGTCTTGTTTGATGAGGTTAAAAAAAGATTTTTAAGCAGCACATGATGTAGGCAACGGCAATGCACACATCTTCAGATGATATTGGCGCATTATAAACAAAACATTCCACTCCTCACCAAGTTCAGAATGACAACTGTGTGTAATATGTTGTCTCAAACCAATTGCATGGGGCGTGCTCCCCTCCTCCAGAAGACCTAAGTACTTAAAAATCACTTGGGATGTGGTTTACTTTTCACACTTTCGAATAAGAGCCGAGGAGAAATATGCACTGTCAGGCTATTGCTTCTCCACAGTTCCTGGCACAAATATCTTCAACTCTTCAAAAGTTTGATTTACCGGGCGATGCCCCCAAAGCACACTCCACAAACACGAGAGCTTCGTGCGGCAAGGGTTGGACCAGGAGACATTGCCTCTGGCAACTGAAGTTACCAGTTGAGTCAAATCACATCATGGGGGGCTGATCCAGATGTGCCGATGAAAAATGGGAACAAGAGACAGCTGTTTTCACTTCGGACATTGTCCCCAGTCTTACGGGAAAGGGATTTGAGCAACGCAAGTTTCTCTTGGGCCTTTGCCTGGATATCGTCGCCATTCGGCACTGCCACTCTGATCGGCCAGGCCGACCCATCCTCCTTGGGGCTGCAGAGAATGTCCGGTCCACTGAGGAGGAGAGTCCAGTCAGAGTGTAATTGACTGCCCCACGCGTGCTTTACTATGATTGTGTTGCTGTTTTTCATGGCCCCTGAAAAGAAACAGCACAAAGGTGGGCCTCAACCACAGCGGGAGGAAGGCCGCGGGGTATCCTGCATGAACAGCACAATCACACAGCTAAAACAGGCCTGCTCCAAAATGCCTTCCTGGGGGTGCCAGAGATCGTGTGGCAGGTGCACAGAACACGTAGGTCATGAGTCTGTTTCACAAGGACTTACCTTGGCGGATGAAAGTTTGGCTGGTGTCCAGCAAAATGTCACAGCCCTCCACGATCATTCTTTCTATGGCAAGGTTTTTCCTTATGTTTTCAGTGTCGCTGACTTCATCGTGCATCACTCTGTCAGACACAGCACAGACAGGGACACAGTAAGAGAGATTTTCTGTTGCCATAGCAAGTGGGCAAAGAAGAGCTCTATCTGAGAAGCTCGGTTTTGAGCTTGTATCATTGAACTGGGGCTGCAGGGGAAGTAGACTGGACCTTCAGGCTTCAACAGGTCATGCCCCAAAGCAAAGCCAATGTGCATGAAGATTCTAAACGGTAAGTGGGTCAGTGATCCGTGTCCTGGGAATGCCTGCTTTTAAATGCAACAGAAAACCAACATACCATTTTATGGATAGCTCCCCTCATTCAAAATAGGGTGCCATTTCTTGGAGGCAGACTAAATTAGAGACCTTTATACCACTTAGTCCATATAAGCTAAAGGAATACAGACGTAAATAAGCACTTGTAACAACGAAAAGTCACTGAGAAACGCAAACTGTACATTCTCTAGCTTCTCGCCAAATGTGAATATAAAATGCAACTGAAAGTTATTTTTTATTATGCTGAAAGAAATGTGAACACTTCCAAACTTAAACCAAAGTACACCTAGTCTTCATTACATAAATTCACATGCTATAAGACAAAGACAGCTTCATCTCATGAGCTAGCATTGAACTTTAAATTTAAGGTGAAGCTGAGAAGCTGGACTTGTGTTTTGCTACTTGGTCCTTGGAACATATATAACATGTTTGCACAAGAAATTAACTTGCTGCTTTCCCATCCCAAGCTTTTATTATAAGTTCTCTGCGTACCTGGACAGTTCCTCTAGTTTTGATTTAGCAAACTCCAGACTTTTCCTCTCCACGTGCTCGTGGGGTGTATGAGCTAGGAGCTCATGCAGTGTGATGATATACCTGGGGATCTAGATGCAAAAAAAGGCCAGTGTGACCCAGAGGTCAGGAGGGGTGACAGGGACATCCTCTATAGCACCTTTATGACTTTAAGACGCTCATCTCTACTCTTACAGTTTTGATTGTTTTACAATTTTTTTAAGAAACACATATAAAATGAACTATGCTTCAAATTTCATGCACATCAAAAAAGAATTCACAGAGAACACATGAAAAGGTGCAAATAAATGAAATATTATGGTACAAAGAAACAACTGTTTAACTTTTTAACATAATCGTATTTTTTGCATCACAGCTTTTGAAAACTGGTCATAGAGAAACAGATATAGCCAACTATCATCAGGTCACTTGAGTCTATATTTTAGATATGTTCTTCTGTTTGCAAAATTTTTTAAAAATTGACAATCCTACTATAATTAATTCTCTTAAAGAATTAAAACTTGGGAGAAGCTACGTTCACCTTTATTACATTCTGTTCCTACTTTATCTCAATTCACCCCACTGCAGTAAAAGTATTGATTAATTAGATTATTAATTTATAGTTTGGCTTAGGAACAGACTATCTGAATTCTATCAAAGGCAGAACCTCCACCAACCATAGGAAGATTTTAAAAAACCATGCTAGAGATTTAACTCAAGGTATAGTGAGTCAACATATTTATTTTTTACTGGCTTATAAAATAGAGCTTTTTTAGAAAGCAGGGACTGTGGGCTTAATTTTAACAATATTATTATTATTAATATTATATAACACTGCCCGCTGGAGGTCAAACTGGGCGCCCCAGACTTTGCTCATGTGTCCAGGCCTCCAGCAACATAAGAATTATTTCCCCATTTTACAGATAGGGAAATAAAGTGGGAAGAGGTTCGGTAACTTGCCCAAAGTGGCCTCATAGCAAATGGCAGAGCCAGCTATGAGCCCGGCTCTGACCAGTGCCCTAACTGCCTCCCCCGAGAGCCACGCTGGTGGGTCTCTTCTGCAGGGACTCAAGTCTCACTCAGCACCTGAAAGGACCCCTGAGAATGAAGAAAGTAGAAACAGCTTGCCAGGGCCCCGTGTGTGGCTCTTGCCATTCCATCCTGAGGGGTTGGTGGCCCTAACTATGGATCTGCTTTTGCTCTCATGCAGGTGGTGGCCTTCACTGGGATGTTTACTAATATTTACTGAGTGCCTAGGTGTGTGCACTATGCACAGACGGCAGCCACCTTCAGCACAGACATCGAACTGCAGCGCGTACTCAGATCGTGTCCTGGGGAGTGGCATCAAGTTAAGGCGTGGGGAAGCACAGACAGCCCCCTTTAGCATGGGAGGGTGGGACACGGCAGACCCCACCCTCTGTGGGATAGACGGAGGAGATTTTCTTCCTCTCCATCTCATGAACTTCTCACTAAAACAGCCTTTAAAGCTGTCCCACTTGGTGAAGTCTCCTGGGGTAAGTGTGCTTTCAAATATCCCTTTTGTTGGCACAATCGCACGATCCATAAAAGTTTGCCTGTAAGTTAGTAGTTCCACAAGACATTAAGGCCACCAGCAGCTAACATACTCAATTTTTCATAGCAAAGGAGGCAGGAGTGGGAGAGCCTGACTACTTACAACGCCCTGAAAACCCACAAAACCGAGTTTAGTCAATAGCTTCATGATCCTCCCCCATTACTTAAATCTGCTTTAAAGCAGTCCCTGGCTAAGATTCAAGTGAATGGGTTTGAATTCGGTCACTGGCCCTTTCATACCACTTTCTGGTGGAGGAGCAAACAAGTGCTGAATCTGCCAAAAAGCAGGCCAAGGAAGTTCTGCAGAGAAGTGGACAGCCCTCCAAAGAGCTCATCTGTATACTCAAGAGCTGATTATAAATCTGTTCCCAAAAAAGCTGAGAATCATAGGAACTGTCTAAATGAATCATAATTCTGCTTTCAATTATGGAACAAATACTTGTCACTTCACAGACATTAATTAGCTTGCTCTCCAGTTACAGTGAATAAGTGGATAGAAGAGCAAGTGGCTGTTTCTGGAGAACATCTAACAGTACTGCTCTTGTCAGGCACAGATTTCACGATCGGCTTACTCACAGACTTTCAACACGTAATATCCAAATAAATAGATGAGCAGCTGAAGCCAATTTAAACAGGACCAGCCAAGCCACTGTCTTTGATAAATAAAAAGTATGTTAATGACTACATTATTTTCCATAACAAATTTCTTGGCAACACTTGGACTTACTGGTCTGATAGTTCAATTGGGGATAATTTTACTGCATCATCCAAATTCTACAATTCCTCCATGTTTCCGTAGTTCAACATAGCTCAATAACAGCAGCAACTGACTAACTCAAAAAAGTGCCCAGAAGGAGGAGGAATACAATCACCTTCTTTCTTGTACACATACTCAGGCTAAAGGCTTCTAGTCATCTCGCTCCCTCCCTCTGCCCCAACACCAACTTCTGCCCCCATATCTAGGCTCAAGGAAAAGTGTGGGCCAGAAGCCCCTTGGCAGTATAAACCAGGGTCACCTCTTCCATTGTCACCCTACAGCAAGAAACTATAGGACCCTGTCCTTATCCCAAGGCATCCAGCCCTACATGGGAGCACGGCAGACATGCAGAAGCACCGACGCTCATACAAGGTACGCAGAGGGAAGCAGATACGCCCAGACTCTCTGAGGAAACAAATGCCTTCACTATTTCACCTCATTAGTGAAAGGACCACAAGGGCACAAGGAGGACAGAATGAGCCTAGTAAGACAAAACCTTCAAGCTTCTAGAAAAGGCATTTTCTCCTCAACTGTTTATGGTTACTCCTAGAGACAAGGCAGGAGGGAGAGACACCAAGTGAAGAAGACAGAGGAGAGACACCAAGAAGCACAAGGCCATTGGGCAGCAAACTCGGATTTCTCCTCTTGGTCTATTCAAAATAGTTATGGGGAAGCAAATAAAGACAATTTAGTGCTCTTTCAATTTGCTCATTTCTTGCAGTTAGACCCATTCTGGCTAAACTCTTTAAGTTTAGACTTCTGCCAGAGCAAAGGCTCTTACAAGCTGAAGCCTTTGATTACCCTCGTCTGGTAGAAGCAAAAAAACTTCAATATCTCACCCTAAATTCTAAGGTGTAAGGTCACCACAGTCTCGAGGGGGAAAGTTCCTAGGCTAACACCAAGCTCCTTGCAACACCACATGGTTACCCAACCCTCAGTGTCAGAACCAATCCCAATCTAGTCCTAGGGCCCAGGATTACAGAGTCAGAAAACTAGAGAGCTTGGAGATAACTAGAGCTCAGCTGCCTCAACTTAGTGATTAGAAAATGGGGATTTAGATTGATTCAATTATTTTCCCCAATGCTATGACTGAAGGGTGAGTGTGACATCAGTTCTCCTACAGATTCCTAGTCCAATGATCTTTTTCTTACGTTATGAGAACTCCTTGGGGTCAATGAAAATGCTCAGTCATTGCTATTGGGCTTAAACCCCAGGGAGAAGGAGGGAGGGGTGGTGGAAGTGTATCCCAGCTTTTTTAAGAACTCTAAATACCTTTCCAAGGCCCTACATTCAACTGTATTTCGACACCTCATATACGCTGCAAGTGCAGTTCTGCCATTTTAAAACACTGACAGAATCACACCAAGAGGGAATTAAGTAACAGTGAGAAAGACATCAGTGGGCTGTCAGAAAGGGAGCTAGGTCCCTCTCTGAATGCTCCTTGTGTTGTTCACAACTCTACCTTTGCATTTTCACCTGACTTGGGGTTACTGAACAGATTCAATTTGGGGTATTGGATCATAACCTAGAGATAATTGCCAAAAGTTCAAATAGAATCTCAGAAGAACATTACACCATATAGTTTCACTGTAAATAAAATCTTAAATTCCAATTATGCATACAGTAAAAAAAAAAGACTGAAAATTTTCTCATGAAATATTTCCTCAGAGAGGCAAAGAGTTCAAACAATTCAGTTCCACAGAAAAAAACAATAACATTATAAAGTTTCACTATAGTTAAGTGGTTTGAAATGCATCCCTTTGGTTTTAAAAAATCTTACTAAACTTCCATGGTGACTTCCAGGATTTTGAGCAGGACTGACAAACTTTAAGTCAAACAATTACAAACCACAGCAACATTTCTTTCTGAGGCTGCAAAATGATTAGCTGGGTCATGGTAATGTTCAGGAGGACAGAGCTCTCCACAGTAACCATAACACACATGATTAGGAGAATCGGTTTACCACATGACAATCTGGAGGCCTGGCCAGAAGCCCCATAAATTCCACAATGGGAACACTCAATGCCTTTCAAAAAGAACAGCATCGACACTTTTCAAAAGAACAGGAGATTCCATACACATTTTGGCCTCCATGGTTCTCACTCCAGAGCTCTTAACAGTAAAACCTTAGACTCAGGAAAGAATGCAAGTGTACTTGATCCTTTTGGTTGCTCTAGTCCCAAATAGTGGACGTCAAGACAAGGCCCAGCCTCATTGTGGCAACCTAATTGCCAAGAATCCCCAAGTCCAGCCAGTGCCTGCTGGCTCCTCAGCCTCCACGGCCTCTGTGACCAGGGATGTCCTCCTTTCATTCTCCAGAGCCCCGGCCAGCGGGACAGGACAGTAATCATGACGGGGGGTGGGGAGGATGCACCGGAAAACGAAAGCTTCCCAGCAGTCGCTCCAGTCCCTGAGAACTTTTTATGCAACCAGCATAAACTGGAACATTTGCACAGAATCCTATTTCTGTAAACCAAATAATATTTTTAAACATGCTGGAGGAGGAGACTCCATCAAAGAGGTCTGTGTGGAATCTTTCTACAAAGAGAAAATTCTGCTGCTTTTCAAAAAATCATTCCTGAATTATTTGCTTCAAAAATGCCTGGTTTTCTTACCTATATTAGACAGAGAGAGAATGTGTGGCACAATGTTTATGCATCTCAGAGTCAAGCTCAAGACAATGTCAGAGGCTGCACGCGTGCCATTATTCACAGGGCGTGCTTATACGTCTCGCTCTGGTCACACTAGGTACCAGTGACACTGAGCTGGAACTAGTGATTTGTCAAATGCATCCCAGGTGGCTTACCTGAAACATCGGATAGGTCAAGAACGTTTCCAGCATCCTCCCCTCACAGGCAGGGTTGGCTTCGTACTGTTTTAAGAGTTTGTCAAAATCTCTGTTTTGCTTACAATTGGCAAGTACTTGGAGGCTGTACTGGTGATTACGCACAAATTCTTGATAAATGTTCAGCATGGGGAGCAAAATATCAAACAGATCAGCTGGAAAAAAAAGAAGTTAATGTGGCTGTTTCCTTTGGTGCTTGGTAAATTATCTACACTCCATGGGAATAGCAAAGAGCGGCTCCCGGCACCAGGTGTCACACATGGGGCCCCAGTCCTGACGCCTGAAAGATAACCTGGTAGAATGTACCCTAGGGCAGAATGTGACTCCAGCCCCAAACGAACTATAACAGGCCTGGGGAAAGAGTCGAAAGGTAACTTTCGAGGCAAGGCCCAAAGGACCCAAAGGCAATGAGATAGACTCCCAGTGGCGAAGGAAGCTCATAGGTCGACAGGGAAATTCTAACAGCTTAGGCTGAATAATGTAGAAGTCATTTTACTATAATTGTAGCCATTCTAAGAGAAGATCTTATAACTTAAAAGAATGCACTTACCTAAAATTAAAGTAGGCCAGTTCGCTATCCTTGCCTTTAGTCCTTGATGAAATATTTCATGAAGAAACATGATTGTTTCACTATTTAAAAAAATGAGAAAATAATATAATTTAGTCGCTGGAAAGTGTTTATTTTGTTTTTTAAAAAGTCCACTGCGTCCTTTAAGCCTTAATATATACATGATATTCATGTCTCAATAGAGCCTCCAAACTGCACTCCCGATAATAGCATAGATTATACCAGCTTCCCTCAAGTATTATGACAACCTCAAAAAACTCTGATAAGCTTCAAACACTGGAGGACAGAAAGCACCATTCACTGTCACATAACCCTCTTCATCAATTTATAAGTGACCTTTCTACTGTTAGAATGCAGTATTTCAATTGATAATCAGAAAATTAAAGTTATGATCCTTTTGCTTTTCGTATTTGATTCTAGTTAACTCGGGAAGGTCTCTCTCACTAAAATGAGTTTTGACAGAAGGAGAGGGGGGGAAAAATGCATAGCAAAAGTTTTGACAGAACTCTATGATAACCACTCCTAAGATATTCAAGGCAGAAATGTAAAAGAATCTTCTGAAAAGAGTGAAGCCTACACAGAGATACTAAAATAAGGACAATGCATAAATTAGGGATCTAAATTCCTAAAAGGGCCAAGAAAAGTAGTTCCCAAAGTCAAAACATCTTTTGCTTTCTCCTCATTGGAATTAACCTACTGCAATGAGCCTTTGAAGCCTTTTCTGAACTAACACATTCACACACTCATACATAGAACTATTCATCTCAGTGAGATACTTTGACTTCTTATAAGTCAAATTCTATTACAATGGACATCAGGAAGTCCTTACTATTTCAAATGGTCCATGAAATAAAATAGACACTGCTTATAATTTGTTTTTCTTTTACAGAATTTTTTTTTTTTGAATCAGGGTCTTGCTCTGTCACCCAGGGATAGAGTGCAGTGATGTCATCATAGCTCACTGCAACCTTAAACTCCTGGACTCAAGCGATCCTCCTGCCTCAGCCTCCCAAGTAGCTGAGAGAGACTATAGGCATGTGCCACCACGCCCAACTAATTTTTTTTATTTTTTGTTTTTTGTAGAGACGGGGTCTTGCTCATGCTCAGGCTGGTCTCGAACTCCTAGGCTCAAGTGATCTTCCCACCTTCACCTCCCAAAGTGCTAGGATTATAGGTGTGAGCCACTGCACCCCACCTTTTATAGAAATTTTAACTAAATAGTGTTTGTTGTTTAAGGATTTCAACCAAATCTAGTTTGGTAGGTATTATAGATTAGTTATTCAATCTGCATTCCATTTTCCTTCTAGTTGGAGAGGTGAAGAGGTAAAACATTTCCCAGGCTCTCTTGCAGCTATGAGATTGGACGTAAATCCAGTTCCACTAATAGACGCACATGGCAAGACCTGGAAGGTGCCAGTAGAAGCCATCTTCCTGTTGCCAAAAGTCAGCCATGGAGATGTGAGTGCTCTAGAGGCAATTTTAGCACCTTGCCTCAGCATTCTAGTTTCTGGGAACCAGCTTCATAGGTCTAAGAGGCAGCTGTCACAGGAGTGGCAGGGGCAGTAGTTTCCTAACCTCTGGATCACCTTTATGGTGCTGTGTCCTTAAACTCAGAAGGGGCAGGTCCCTAACTTTATTCCTCCAGCCCTCCCAACAGATTCTTTAAGCAGCTAATTCCCTCCACTCAGAGAGGTGTTTCTCTGTCCTACATTGAAAACCAACTGATAATCTACCTTCGTATTTTGACACCTAGATGGCTAGAAAACAGATGAAACAGTTCCGTATATAAAAAGGTAGATTCCATTTTTTTAAGTATAAATGCTGTGTAAATTCAAAATAATTGACCTACCCAGGTCTTCAATCTTAAAAGCAAGAAAAGGGAATTTAGTTAAACAACAGTAATGACAGCAAACACCCTTTAAACCTCGCCTTTAAAAACATACTTCTTCACAGTATGTTAAGTAAAATAAGCCAGGCACAGAAAGACAAACATTGCATGTTCTCATTCATATGTGGGAACTTAAAAAGTTGATCTCATGGAAGTAGTGGATAGAATGGTGATTACCAGAGAGGCTGGGAAGGATAGTAAGGAGGGGGGCAAGAAAAGGGGTTGGTTAATGGGTACAAAAATACAGTCAGATAAAAGGAATAAGCTCTATTGTTTGATAGCACAGTAGGGCAACTATAATTAACAATAATTTAGTGTACATTTCAAAATAGCTAGAAGAGAAGATTTAGAATGTTCCCAACACAAAGAAATAATAAATGTTTGAGGTGATAGATATCCCAATCACCCAGATTTGAGCATTACACATTCACATGTACCCCATAGATAAACTATTATGTATCCATAAAAATTAAAAATAAAAAAACATTTTAAGTACCTCTTCGAATCTCCATTTAGCACTAGGTGTAGTAAACAATTGCGAGTCTGTATAAAGAGCTTAACAGCCTCACTTTCCAAAAAGAGGCACATCTTGACTCTGAATTGAAACAATATGATAAACCTGGCCTTTCATGTTTCCCATCAAGCAATCCAACGGAAACACACATCCAGAGGCAACCTAAAACCAAAGTGGCACAGGCTCTGATGGTGTCACTATGAAAGCATGCAGTTCACACAGACACCCACTGCCATCAGATCTGTTGAAAACTGCACACTTGGTGACGGCAGTATCACCAAAATGCTAGCTGTATCGCCTGAGGACCAAGAGCCACCCCAGGCCTCTAAATATGTCTCACACACTTGAGAGGAGCCACTGCCATGCAGTGTGGGGAAATCATCCTCCCTCTTTCAACAAAAAAAGCTTAGCTTTGCATCTCATGTTATCAGACTACCACCACTCCTCACCCTTCCTTTTTGCAGTTATCTACAAACCCCAGGTGCTCTTCCTGGAGACTTGAGATCTGAGCTTCCAGCTCACTGTGGGTCCTTTTTCCAACACTACTCTTTTCATCATTCTCGGTGACTCCAATATACACACAAACAATATTCTAGTATCTTGGCTTCTCAGGCCTTTGAACTCCTCCTCCAAAGATCCTGCCCTCCGTTGACCTCAGTCAACACTTCCTTGATTGTACTCTAGACCTTGCCATTGTCAGTAATTGCATCACTTCCCTCTCTCAGTTTCAGGCACACCATTCTCTGACCGCCTCCTTATCTTTCAGTTCACTACCTTTAGAACCCTGACTCCAAAACTCCTTTCCCACCTTCAGGACCTAAATCTAGAGCTCCTACTGCCTTTTCACTGGCCAAAACTCCCTCACACCAGCATTTCCCTATCTACAGAGGTTAGATTCCACGGCTCCTTATCATAAGCTCTTCCTTGCATACACCTTCAACTCCCTGATTCTTTTCTCTCTTCATCATATTAGCCTCATACAACACCAATCCTAATTAATCCCAAACGTCCACTCACTTGGCACCTGCATCCACGCAACTGAAAGTGGCTAAAGAAAAACATGTGACATCCTGACTGGTCTCACTGTAAAGTCCTGACCACTAGCCTAATAAGCTAACAAGAACTCTGAGTGCTGTCCAGCAATTATGCTGCATTCCCGAATCCATGCATTCCCTTGCTCTACTTGATCACTATTTCGCACCTTCTCCTCTCTTACTCAACTCCGACACTTCCCTCCCGTCTGCACTGTCAGCTGGTGCCCTTGCTTCCTAGCTACAGAGGTGTCCATGTGCTATGCCTTCCCTGCCATGCTCCCAGCCAAGACCAATCTCCTGACTTATGCACGGCATTCTATCCACTTTTGCCTTCATGCATTTACTGCTCACCAATTCTCCCCTCTCTCTCCTACATCATTCTTTTTCCCTCTTTATTTACCTCTATGTACCACCCTGTTTCTCTGCTCCTCTTCATAGCAACCATCCTTAAAAGAGTTTTCTCTCCCCACCCTCTCCAATTCCCAACTCCCCCCATCCATTCTCTCCGAAGCCCCCCGCAGTCAGCCTTTGGCCCTTCATCAGCATTACCAGTAAGCTCCAAGTCGTTAAACCCATGGTCAAGTCTCAGCTATTGTCTCATTTGACCTTTCTGGTACAGTTGTTCCTTCCCTCTTGCCTTCATTTCCAGGACAACTCACTCTTCTGGTTTTCATCCTATGACTCTAACTGGTCCTCTTCACTCTTCCTTGCTGTCTCCTCTTCATCTTCCTAATCTCCAAATGTTGAGATATCCCAGGGTTTAGTGCTTGTTCCTCGTCTCTTACCCATCTGCACTCCCTTGGCTATCGCATTCAGACCAGCAGCCTTTGATACTATCCATATGCTCTAGAACTCCCAAATTTGTATCTCCAGCTCAGAGCCCTCCCCTGACTCCAGACTAATATCCAATCCCTGTTCATCTGAAGTCTCCACTTGGATGGCTAATAGTTATCTCCTACTGAATAGGTCAAAGAGAAAATTCCTCATCTTTTCTCCTAAACCTGTTCCTGCCTCAATCTTCACCCTTTAGTAAATAGCAACGCCATCCTTCTAGTCATTCAGGCCAAAAACTTTGCAATCTTACTTGTCTTTTTGCTTTCTCAAAAAACCCACATCAAACCCATCCACAAATCCTACTGGCTCTAACTTGAAAATACACCCAGATTCCAACACATTGCAATCATCTCTTATTTTATTTGGGTTACTGAAATAGCCACCTAACTGATTTCCCTACAGCCTATTCTCAACAGAAAAGCCGGAGCAAGCCTTTGAAAACATAAGTCATATCATGACATTTCTCTGCTCAAGACCCCATCACTATCTCCCCAGCTCATTTAGAGTAAAAGTCAATGACCGTACGTGTCCCACCTGCTAACTCCCCAACTCCTCCCTTGAGCTGGGCAGGTCCTGGAGCCGGCCTGCCACACATGCTGTGCCCCAGGACATTGCACCGGCAGCGCCTTCCACTTGCACCACCCTTCCCCCAGGAAGCCACATGGCTTCCTCACCAACTTCAAGTTTTTGCTCAAAAGTTAACTTACCTTTGAAGATTTTCTGAACACTGACTATTAAAAAAAAAAAACCACCAAAAAACCCCAACTATGGTATATTTATAGCCTGTAATACCATATAGTGTTTTTTTAAAAAACAGAATGCTCTTTAGGTATCAATACGGAAAGATCTTCAGTATATATTGTTAAGTGAAAAAAAATCAAGCATATGTTAAAGTACATTGACTTTTGTGTAAGAAGAAGGGAAATAAGATTCTATATTCATATTTGCTTAGCTCTAAATTGAGAAACACTGAAAGGATGTATAAGAAACTAATAAAATGGTATTATGTATAGAAAGTGGATGGAAGAGGTCAAACAGGGCGAGAGTGCAACTGCTAACTGCTGTTTGATGTCTTCATGTGATTTTGACTTTTGAACCATGTGATTATATTATCTACTCAAAAACAAATAGCTAAGATTTTAAGCAAAACACCCAGATACTCCCTTTCCCCAATCTCTCTGCTTCCCTTGTTTATTTTTCTCCACAGCGCTAATCACCACATAATACATTAATACTATATATTTCACTGATTCATTCTTCATTGTCTTCTCACATCAAAATTTAAGTTCCGTGAAAGCAAGGATTTTCTGCTGTGTTCACTCAAGAATCCTCAGCAGTAAGGACACTATAAACATTTATAAAGCAAATAAATTCACCAAGATTCTCAGGCCCCAGTTTTTGCTCTTCCTAAAATACTCCTGTATAATTAACACGTAAAGACCCATTAATCACTCCATTTTCCTCAGTTTATGAGGGAGGTTACCTTCCCCAACACACACACATACCCATGCAATGACAAGAAAACATAAGTCATAGAGAAGAAAAATTAAGAAACTTAGATGCCAAGATTCAAGATAAAGATATGCAAATTTGGGCTGACAATGAAACACAAATGATAGCTTCCTTATTTTTAATATCATAAACTCATAGAGATGAATTTATGAGACCTATTTTAAGATTAAGTAAAAGTTCTTTCAAGAAATACAAATGGGTTTTTCACATGACTCTTTGAGTGATGCAAAGACAAACCTGTTGAGAAAAATACTGCTGACATCGTCATGGCTGATGGGAGGCTTCTTGGAGCTGGCGGCCATTCTCAGGGGCCGGAGGAAGCCGTTGACCAGGATGTAGAGCTGGTGCACGTACTCCGTCTCCGCCTCCACCATGGTGAACACAATCTGGTTTCTCTTCCTCATACTTTCTGCATGAGGAGAACAGATGTAATCCTGCACAATGGTCTTCCATTTCCTTCTACACAACCATCCTCGCATGAAGCTCTGAACCTACAGAAAAAAAAAAACGGAATCTTAGGGAGGTGTGAGACTAACTTTCTTAAGCCTATTGGTAGATGTGTCCATTCTGTGCCACATAAAACACTGTTCTTTCATGGATGCACTAAGGGTTCCACCAGCAAAATAAATAATGGTGGGCTTTTTCCAAGTAGTTGAAAAAAAAATGATGACTTAAAAAATAATTTTGTTTTCCTCAGGTTCATAAGTTTCTTCCATACACTTAAGCTCTTTAGGCCTATCTATATGGACTCCAAAATATAGTATTACATATTTAGTTATTATTATAACATTTTAAGAAAGAAAGAAATTGAAGGTTAATTCTTTAGCATTATAGTATCATCTTTTTT